ATATACAAGCTCAGAAGTATCAAAAAATACACGTTCTCTACAAGATTTGTAGTTCTTACTTCACTGCGTCAAGTGGCACTATCAAGAATATTTGATATTAGTTAATACAAAAACATAAGAGTTGATTAACTCTTTAACTGGAGTATCTGCTTCAACATTCAATATCATCAGTTTGAATTTGGGTTGACAATTTGAGTATAATGGCATCTTTTTATCTAAACAAGGGTGAGTGGAAGAAGGTAAATCTTCTCTTTTTTGCACGTCTCACTGGAAATCCATCAGTAGGACACAAGAAATATTTTTCGGAATTGGCCTTTGCATTGACAGAACAATGTCTGTTAATATTATTATTTTGTCCACAGCTTTTCATTACAATCTGCAACACGATGAAGAGAATACTCGTAGGGTACAGACCTTTTCCCTACTCTTTTTCTCATTTCTAGACAGTTTCTGCAGAACAAGTGAAGCTTACCATTTCCGAGCTTTATCACGCCAAGAATTAAGCTACATGATCACATTATATTTTAGCTATCCTAATAAATCATCTCCCTGATTTCCTCTCTTTCTCTATATTCCATATCAATTCATGGTCTAAAGGACGTGGACATTGAATATCTTTACCCAAAACAAAAGCAGGCATTCCCATTATTTCCTCTAAACACAAGAATCCATCACATATGTTCTAATCATTATTCACAAAATCAATATAAAAAAAAAAATCAAGTCAATAACACGAAAGACTAACATAAACTCTCCCAATATGTATAATACATATCAAAACCCTATAACTAACTAGCAAAAGCATGTGAAGAAATAACATGTCCGGGAGTCAAGTACACATCAATATGAACATCAGCTACACTCCTTGCTGTATCCTGGCCCCATAGCCATTAACTCCACTTACACCATTGGAGTTACAAGGGTATTTATTAATTGAGCTATCACCTTCCCTTTTTCTCTTCAAGACAATAAACCATTTGAAAGCTGCAAGGGCAGCTGCCATGGCTCCAATCCCTATAATTATACCAATGTATGCATTCTTTTCAGGCTGCAAGATGTCAAGCCCTTTAAAAATGTTTACAATGCTGAGAATAATCACTGTGTAGCCAACAACATAGTGGTAGATGTTCCAATAAAATCTAAGATCTGGCTTTGGCCTCAATAGCAAGGCGAATACCTACAAGTACATAGCCAACAAAATTAATTAAAGAAAGAAGAAAAAAAAAATTTTTAAAAAAAAAGAAAACGAGAGATATGTAGCACCTTGCAGCGTAGTTATCTTTATTAATGAATAATTGACAATGAAATCTTTGAGTATATACTGATTTCCTACATTGTACCTAGAGGGAATCCTCTCTTTTTTCCTACTAATTTGTAAAGGAAGTTATTTAATTTTAGAAACTGGCCACGATACTCTGTAATGAAGCCAAATTCCAAAGCTATAAACAAAAAAAGGTGCATAATTCTAAAAAAAAGCCTTTTTTTAGCTGCTAAAAGTATTCGTTCAATTTATTCATATACTAACAGTGTAATTTTTTTAAAAAAATTATTGTATACACTGTCAGTGTAGGAAAGATTAATCCATAGTTTTAATATAACACTATCTTGAAATGAATTTAAGTGAGATAGAAGGTGTTACAAGATTTCTAAGAACACCCATCCAATCATGGAAACAAAAAATAGGTACCTGAACTGTTGCGACGCAGACCATAGTGATACCAATGGCCTTATGGGCGTCTTGTGAAACTCCAGATTCATCGCCAAGTTTGAGACCTGCTCCCAATCCACAAACACCTCACAAACTAGCCATTGAAAATTGTGAGCTGGAAAACGACACCAATGAATGCTTTCAAGAAATGGAATCGAGTCCTTGAGTGCCATGGCCGAGTCGGGCAAAAATATTCATGCTAGATGGTCTTTGCTACACCGATATGGTATAATAATATATGCATGTTTGTTTACACCTACTTTTGAGAGTTCTACCTAATAATTCTACGTCCCCAATGAAATACAACATAGCATTTTTTGTCCCAAATGAATGTATACTTGGCCAGCATTATGATTATTACCAGCATAAGATTACTCTTATTTGAGTTGAAATACAACAGCTTGTAAAAATGGGAAAAAAAAAAAACATGAGCCAAAGTACTCGAAACTTAATCAACAAAAATTATAAGTAATATAGTAGACTGATGCACAGGATCATCATAGTAACAGCTGCACTGGGGAAAATGAAAATACTAACAATTATAGCAATGACCCGTCCAGAACCAGACGAATAATTGAATACTTTATGAAATGGGTGGAGTAACAAATATATATATATATATATATATAAAACTAGAAGGGCCATTTCAAGAGCAGCATCCAAAATGCCCATACGGACTCAATTTGTTATTTCAAGATAAAGTAGACAAAAAGTAAAACTAAGAAAAAAAAATTGTCTTGGGAAATTGCAATTTTTTCGTTTTATACAAACAAATTTTTTTTTCTTTCCTTCGACTTTGCATTGAAAGAACATACTTCAAAATGATATGATTTAACCTCGAATACATTCAAATGTAACAGATGAAAATGGAACTCAGAGAATTGATGTGTGTTCGAATCATCATGGGAACTATCAATCGTTGGTATGCTCATGAGGGGAGAAACCCAATCAAGGCGAAAAACCTACGAAATTGTTTTGGGTTCTTCGGGGCCTGTGTTGTCAATGTCTAAAAAGGGCCTGTGTTGTCGGCCATTCGATTCCCAGAATTACTATCTCGACCCAAATCAGATATTTAAGAGTCTAAATACTGAGTAGACTAATTAACTAAATCTTATTGTCACTAACTACCCATGTTACGGCCCAGATTTCTGAATTAAAAATACAGGTTTTACTTGGTCTACCTACTCTTTGGAATTGGGCTACACTGCTTATTTAGCTGAAGGAGCTATTTGGGATTTTTCAGTTGGATCCAACAAATGGACAGTACCTCTTAAATAACGAACGATTTTGTTGACAAATAAATTTACACATTCTTTCATGACCCCAAAAAGGGCAAAAAAAAAAAAAAGAAAACAATTAAGTCTTACATCTTCCTGGCTAATTTTCCATTGAAAAATGTGTGTTTGGAAAATGCAATCACCTTCTTACCCATAAACACTTTTTTCGATCACTTTTTTACCTCACATATATCAAATTGCTATAGTAATTCTACTATAAACAGTCCAGAAAAATGCAATCCAAACAAGTTGTTGCTTTCTCTTTGTTGAAATCTGTGGTACGTTCTAGGTTTTTGCCTTATGTTCGCATGAAAAATTTTCATTACGTTGTGGATGGTATAATAAAAAGAATTAACTGCAATATTGAAATTCTTGATGGTTGCCCACACTTTAACATTATAAAATGAACGTTTTTAACTGCTATTGTTTTCATGCTTATGAAATGTAATCATATGCCTAAATGCAACCATCAGTTTTTTATAGTTATTTTTGGTCACGATTATAACATACTCACACATTTGTTGCATTTTCTGTATGAGAGTTTCCAGTTCTTGAAGGGGAATATATAACCAGAAAATTGTCCCATAATTTGACACCAATTTGAATAACCTCCAAAGAACCTACTTTTGCAGATTCTAAAATGCAAAAGAAGTCTGATTTGAGCATAGGAAAATCCAAAAACTGGAGAACCTTCCTTTTTGTATACATATCGTAAGCAAAATCTGTGCATTGGAACAAAATAGACAAGGTCCTACGACTTGAACAAGTCCTCAATTCCAGTGATCATCTATCTCCTGACGGCTGTACTGATGTAGTTTTGTTTTCTTCTCCTTTGAATCACTGCTCACCAGACATTGATTGATTGCTTCAATGTGGGATGCGATGGCGGAGGTAACAGGGCGAAGGGTGCAGGCTGCAGGCTGCCGTCTTAAAATTCTGAAATTCATCAACTCCTTTTTTGCATGGTATGACATGGAATGGATTTGTTAGAATTTTTTTTTTTTTTTTTTGCCTATGCAAAAACTTAAAAAAACATTTTACATTACAGAATTAAGTACATGTACAGTAAAGTTTGTCCTACAAGATAAATTTTCTAGTTCCGTCTATGATAATATGGCGCACACCGGTACCAATAAACTATCACCAAATAATGGTAAATCATTCATCTTCTAATATTCATCATAATACTTTGTATCGAATAAATATGTGCATGGTATGACATATCGTGTGCTACATTAGTACCAATCACTTACTAAGAATTAATGATGGTGATTACGTGAGGTACCTAATATTTTTTCACTTGAACTATCGATAGATTGTTTGAATAGTTATTTATTTGGAAAAATTTATTTGATTGCATCGTCAACATATTTGATTCGACAGACACAAATAATAAGAGCCATTAATGCAACGTGTGGATTAGGGAACGTCCACATTAAACGATGGATCAACCATTGTGTGCGGAAGACTTGCTTCAAAAGTTGGACAATCAAATTGAGAAGTTTTGCTGACTAAAGCAACAAGTTTTACATAAGGTCACAAGACCTACAACTGATTTCCATATCATATAGATTTTGCTTTGTAGCAAACGTTAAATCTATTTTAGTTTGACACCATGAGTATTTCATACCAAGATTTTCAAACAATCAGTTAATCCCACCTGCTAGGCTGCTCCTATCAAATTATCAAAACTTATTATATATAGCATGGATTGAGTGTGGATAACCCACAAATTACTTTTGTACGTGTTGCAAAGGTGCATGTATTTTTTTTTATTTGGGTAAAATCATTGTACTATTAGATAGTGTGTAGACGACTTGATTGGACCAATATTTGATTATGGCTTCTCAATACTAATAGAAGATGTGCCGATAATAGAGTAAATTCCTCAATATTTGATTACGGAGAGAGCTGCAATTTCAAGAGGACTACCAAGTAGTGTGAGAGCTCATGAGCATCCTTCTTCAGCTGGCATTTCTGAGCAATGACAAGAATTAAACTTCTGCTACCAAATGTAATTAATCATTGCTGAATTTCTGAACTATATTCTTGTAGTCAGGCAATCAAAGGAGTAAACAATTCATATGTGAAATCAAGGGAAAGAAAGAATTGTTGGAAAGTATGAACAACTTCTTCTCTGGGTAGCATGAAAGAATCAATAAGTTGATAACTTAGTCTACACTTCAACCGTTTTTTGATTAAGAGCCATGTATCTCCACCTTTCTTTTTCCACAAAATCTGCATCAAGAAACCTGGAAACAAAAGCCCAGAGCCGATACAAGTCCTCAAAGTTGGTCAAAAACCTAACAGAAGCTGAGACCACAGAAATTTCCGAATCAAATTGACCTCCCTTTTTGTTGTGCTCCACTTCTCTTCTTTCAGTGTTTTCCTTCTCTAATATTTTCTGCTTCTCTTCTTTATAATTGTTTTCAAACCCCACATGATGCAAGAATCCGCATGCAAGAGAAACATTGTTTCGGTCAGCTAACTTCTGTACAAGAATTGGATCAATTTTGTCTCCTTTCCAGTCAAATACATTGAAAGCCACAGCCGGTGCTCGGTTAATGCTTATTTTTGGTCCGTAGATTTTAACTAAGGCAGCCCCATTTTCTGAATGTGGATGTCGAAGGCACAGCAATGCATTTACTAGCCAGTTTATGTGGTACCGATTTCTGCTACTGATCACAATTAGGCCTACTTCATCTGCATGATCTAATCCCCTGCATTCAATCGTTTCTGAGCTTCTTATACCGCTGGGACTTGCATCATTTGAGACAACCCTTTTATCTGATTTTAATAACTCGGAAAATGATGGTTCCTCCTGAGTTTTGCTGCCATCTTCTTTAACTTCCTGCAATTCAAAGGCTTCTTCACTTGAGCTAAAGGATGAGCTAAGCAATCCTGCTTCCTCTCTCCTGAACAACATACCTAAGGTCACAATTTGATCTTTACTTTCTGTTTCAGAGATAGTGGATTGTCTAAAAAGGTTTCCTGTTGGGATAAGACTGACAACACCAATGCTTGTGGAGGATTTGTTTAGCACTGAGATACTAGACTTCTTCACGAATAAACAGCTAAAACCAGAAGGGTTTTCCCCAAACACCTTGAAGAATGAACAGACGATAAAGTCAGGAAGAAACAGAGTTAGCCCCAACGTCTCCATCTCCTTGGCTGCTAACGCGTCTGCATCAAGCAAGACATGCCAACCATTTTCTTGCGCTTTATACATCCATTGATAAGAATATGTTGCTCCAGTCATTCTTGACTGCAGGGGGAAGACAAACAATCCCCTCTTCTTCTTCTTCTTCTTCTTATTCTTACGGATCATCTTCCTAAGTTTTTTCGCATTTATCCTCAAACTAGGCCATGAGAACTTAGCTGACAATATTCGAGCTCCATTCTTCTTGGAGCTTTCAATCATTGCTTCTGTTGCTTCATTCTTGTAGTCATAGACTGTAAGAAGTTTGTGATTAGTCTGGAAGGGATATGAATCTGCCAAAAGCTTGAAAGCGGAGGCCTGGTTAGCAGTGAAAACCATGGAATAATCATCTTCAGAGATATTCATGTAGTTCATGATCCTTTTTCTCATTGCCAATTCAAACTCTGATTTTTCGCCACCGTAACGTAGTAGAGAGATCAAATTGACGGACTTGTATGAAATATCAAAAAAAGGTACTTCTGAAGCGGTAGAATCTTGTGGTGGTGGAGGAGATGAAGAAGTAGAGGCAATTGCAGCTCCAGAATACAAATTCTGTTGCTGGGAGTATGAGAAAAGGCCATTGCCAGTGTAGTCCAGGCAGACATGATTTGAGAGAGAGAGGTGATAGTACTCTTGTGATCTAATTTGGTCAACCGAATCTGTATTTGAGTATTGCGGGAAGGAATTTTTAAGGTTGGAATACAATTCTCTCAATGGAGGGAGAGATTCGTGATTAGTAAACGAGGTGTCTGGTCGGATTGAGGAACAAATTGCAGAAAAGAAATCTTGCTTGGGAGTGGTGGCAGTTCTTGTAAACTCGGAAGTGGGAGTAGGGGCCTCAGGCAGGCGAAGACAAGGATTTGAGCACCAACTTGAACAGGCTTTTGAGGCCTCTCTGACGCAAGGTACTTCCATATCACTCTTTAAGTTCTACAGTTTCTATCAGACTTCAAATCCTGCACTCCCTTTTCCTTGTTTTCCCTTATTTTCCATCTAACTTTGTGATAAATAACTCACCTAATGCAGCAGAAAAAAGTTTCATATGTGAAAGTTTCTGGAATGGTTATTGAATGCGTTACCGCAGGGGGAAATTTTCCAGCATATGCTGATTGACCATGTCTACCATGGATTGCAATGCCTTCCCTCTCACTTCTCAATGTCGTATACGGGGCGTTTAGTGCTTTCTTTCCTTTACTCTTTGTACTCTGAGATAAATCGGTCAATATCACCTTTCTTTGTTTTTGTCAACCATCATGTGAGGGCTATATTGTACATTTTCTTTCATTTCCATTAAAGGCGGATTAGAAAGTTCTCAGGCTAACAGGCACCTCCCCGGAGGAAAATCTTATGAAGCCGAATATTTGTCAGGATATAAGTTTCTTGTGCAAGTACTACTTACACATGTAGTTATGCAAAAATTGTATCATTCATGGGACTTGAAATCTCCACCTGATTGAATGCTTAAAACTTCCTAAGCCACCCATGTTTCTTTGGGATTTGAGACAGGTACCGTTGAGATTTTTGTGCGATTATTGTATTTTTTTTTTACATGATTTGATAGTAAATTTTATTCAAATACACAAACTCAATATATCAGTACAACCCATATCTCTAAGCAAATATTGAAAAGAAAACAACGAACGCATCAATTGCATCAAAAGCCATCTGTGTAGGTAACAATTAACATAGCCATAGAGTGATGCAGAGAGCTGAAAGTCTTCGTCAACATGCACTGAGATGTTTTACACCTCCAGGCATTGGTTCATATAATTTCGACCAGACAGAAAAAGTTGAGTTAGGACCATCGCATTGTATAGCCCAGCACATGTTCTTATCAGATTAGTCTCTGATTTTGTTTCATTTGGAGTAATCCAAAGACTAGTTCTTAGCCACTTCCGCATGGAATGGTTGCAAGTGTTTCACGTAAGATAGGAAAGCAACTTGATATAGAGCATCTTTGTTGAGCTGCTAGAGCGGAGCAAAGGACAAGTGGAAAGCCTACAAACATTTTTTTGTAGTGGCCGGCACTATACATCCATGCAGATCAGCTTGAAGCTTTCACTAGAATGGTTCATTATTGTACTCATCGTTTATCACAGCCACATAACACCAATAATTAACCCCTCGCCCTGAATTTGTTTTGTAGCTTACGCTATATATATTTATCTAAGAAAGAATCAGTTCACTATGTCAATTTTCAGAAGAAAACAGTAGGAAAAGAATTCATCCAACTACAAATGCACTAAAAAGCTGTAGAAGAATACATGTATGGCTATTGATTTGAAAAATTCCACACACACACACACACACACATCATTCTCAATTTGCATATTTTGCAGTCTTTTTGGCAAAGAAAAAAAAATAATTATATCTGAACTGTAACATCAGTACATCACCAGACTGGCATTAAGTTTGACCAATTTTCACGTTATGGGTCTCTATCATTAATAATTGCTTCAACCCAGCTGCCATCCTGCCCACCTGAATCAAACTCAAACAGCCCTAAACATGAGGGATTCACGTGAGCCCAAAAGATGAGGAATTCAGTCAAGTCAAGAGTGGAACACCTTAATGATGATGATGATGATGATGATGATCATTTTGGATCCTACGGTTTGCTGTTAATTATGGTTAAATAGAATCCAAAACATCCCTTCTTATAAGCCCTATATAAACTCTTATGTTGTGTAGAAGATTTTTTTTTTTTTTTTTTTTTTTTAAACGAGTCACACATATATCTCCCTGTCAGAGGGAGGATATCGACTTATCTGCATTAATCCAATTGTTGTCATAATTTAGCTTAAATTCAATTTTCCAAGCACTAATTTCAGTTCCAATATAGAAGAAAAAAAAAACAGTAGTGGTAACCTTATACCTTCATGCAGAGAGAACGTACATTGCAATGTAATCTCTGGGTCAATTGCTAAATTTCTTCCTTACGGCCAGTACCTTTGCATGCCTTTCTTGGGTTGCGAGAGCAAACAGGAAATGTAGACTTTCAGGACATGTATTGGACAATCGGGACATGTTATTCCACCATTTGACATTAGATGTTCATATGTTGACATTGGCGATAAAATGAACAATGATTAGTTACCAAAATACTCCAGATGTTATGAATATATCTGACTTTGGTGCCTATGGAGCTGGAAAATAGCAACATATAAGGGCGAGTGCAGTGTGATTGATTGTAGAACAAGTCTTTAAGGTGAAAATGCTGTTAAGGTGAAAATGCTGTGAAGATTCTTTGGATGATGGATTGAACTCAGGTCATGATGTTGCTTTAGAGATTGGTGGACCTGGTGGTGGACAAAATGTTACTGACCAAAGAATATCACCCATGGACCACGACCAACTGTAGACATGATGCAAAATAAGCAGGAAAAAAAAAATTCGCTGTTGAGAGTGGGATTTGAACCCACGCCCTTTCGGACCAGAACCTTAATCTGGCGCCTTAGACCAACTCGGCCATCTCAACTTGTTGATGGCAGCTAGCCATAATAGCATCAGATGGTTCCTTTCGGTCAATATCTTTCGTTTTCTAACCCCTCAGAAGCATCATTTATTACTAACTAACTGGGATAGCCTAAAAGGTTTTTTGTTTTTGTTTTTGTTTTGGGATAGAAAGAATAATTTTATTCAATAAATTTACACTAATGACTGAAAATGCATCAAATCAAACATTTGAAACGCTAAAATGTCGCGGGAAAACTTTCTTGGTTGACTAAGTTGAGAAGAAATAATACTTGTATGTGGTGACCCAATATACGATACCGTTTCATCTCATAACATTCTAGACGACCTTTCATATCTAGCATCAATTTTATCTGGTATGAAAACTTGAAACAGGAAATATGAACAATAGGGATTAGAATAGCAAATTTAGATGGTATGAGACCAAAATGATAAGCTTAGAAAATTTTGTCATACTCTAAGCAACATCAATAACATGTAATTAATTTGTGTATTTTCATATGTAAATGCTTGAGAAATGAAAATCGAATTCGTAAATATGTTCTCAATTTCATATATAGTTACATTTCATTGTTAAAGATATTTCACTTGCCCTATAAATACTCCTAAAATCGAACTTCTCATTTCCTTTCATCCAATTATTATATCCTAGCTTAAATAATTATATCTCCTTTTTTCTTCTACCTCCTCCATATACACATTTCTACTAAATGGAGTTGGCAATTGTTGAAAATTTTGATCTATAAATCCACACAAGTTGGCTACCTAAGATGGAGGAGACTGGACTAGCTAGATTATGGGCAGGAAATGGGAAAAGGGAAATTAAATTGTTAAGAAAAAATATTCATGACAAATTAAAGCTTTACGTGAAAATGTTTATATTATCGTAATTGAATCTTCGAAGAACTAATCGGTTATTTTTGTGCTTAACTATAGCGTATTTGCTTCTTTGTATTCTATAATTCATGTTTTCTCTTCTTATATCTCAAAAACGAAATCTCCTCAAATCAGGAGTCTGATTTTACTCTAATTCTTTTTCCTTTCCATGTATTTAAAGATCCACAAAAAAATAAAAAAGTTGCAAAAGAAGCATTACACAAGAAAACCATATGTCTGGTAAGTTGGTAGTCCACAAATACATTGAAACAGTACATTTGGAAGTCTAGGACATGTGAAATAGATCATGTTTAGGTTACTAACATACAGGGAATACAGCACGTAGAGTTAGTTTTAGGTAGATTTAGTGCGATTATTATACTTTTTTTTTAATGATTTGGTGTGTATTCACATGAATTTATTGTATTTCATAATTTGATGTATATTTACAAAACTTTTATTGTACGTTAAGAAATACATTAAAATTATATGAATGTACACTAAATTATGAAAAAAAATATAACAATCATATGAAGCGCATTTAATGCTAACCGTACCTGCACCAAACTCCTAGCGTACCACCCACAACAATCTTTGCCTGCACTGCAATACAAGTGGGATGCTACCTGCTGGAACTGTCACTCCAAATGGTTTCTTGAAAATTAACAAACTTTTACCATGAAATGATAATCCGTGCAATCTTCGAGCTCCATAATTGATCATTCTCAATGAACTGCATGTAAGACTTTCAGAGCTTCAGAGACACACATGAATTAAGGAAACAACTAGATTTCTTAATTAGACTAGGCATATATAGTTAAAGATAATGCCTAGTCTTCCCGTTTGATCGTGGTCTTGTCTTTGCATGAAGAGCAGCAAGAAAGGGGTTATGTTAAGCTGAGAGAGTTCTAGGGCAACTCTCCTTTGGCAGGTTACGAAGAAGTTGGCACGAAGATTTACATGGATTCCAGCACTAGTACTCCATCAACTGCCAAGAGGAGATCTGCCCTAAAACTGGCTCGCTTATATATTTTCTTCAGTCAAGGGATGGACTTACTCTTTCTTACATGCCTTGAAGGACCAAAACTGAAGTCTAGATTTATATATAGCCACTCTTTGCGTTTCCCTGTCTTCTGGAAATCGAATAAGGGGGGTTGTAGAAGATAGCATATGGCATATAGGGTTTTATGCCTTCGGATATACCGTTGATTATGCCTGCTTTTTACGCATTCCATGGCTCCATGTAGGGCTGCTTTTATCAGAAAAGGCCCCTTAAATGGCTTGGGAAAATGCGGTAGATTCGAGGCTGCATGATCCTGACTTATGGTAATGTTTTGCCTTTGTAGCTTTAAGCCTTTCTTTCTGTGTACGTACGTGGAGAAAGATGTACAGATATAAAGCAATCCAGAAGTGATGCCACTTTTTGCTTAAGACCCTCGAGACCCTTAAGGTATATCCTTTGTCATATTCTTCTGGTCTTTTGAGTCGGTTCAGAATTTGGGTTAATTTTGGATTGCAATTATATATCATTGAGTTTTGTCCATAATTCCAGATCACCTTGTGAAATTACACTCTTTATCTCAAGGCTTGTTTGTGACATAGTAGCAAAAGAATAATGACAACAGTTGGAAATCCGATTTTGGATATCAACTAACGCAACATAAATTTTAAAAAATTAACAATAAATATATAGAATTCAAACATATCTAACAACCACCTATATACAATAATGTTACAGGCTAACAACCAAACATAAACATAAATCCTATATACAATGTTACAGGAATGGAACATATTTGCTTAGTTTTACCATATTAATGGGTCCGTTTGGATCAAAGATTATTTGGAATAATACTGTAACACTTTTTATAATGTGATACATGTGAAATAAAAAAAAATTAAAAATTACGTTTATGATGCAAGTAGAACAAAATTTAGAAATTATTTTTTTAGCAAATCTTGATAACCAAACAAATCCATTCTATGTTCACCTGGCATTAGTGATAAGTTGCTTTTGGGATAAGTTTCGGAGTTTGGATTGTATATCAATATTCATAGCAGAGACATGCACTAAAGTATAGAATAAGAGGCAGGATAAGGCAAGAAATAGTAGTAGTATTATAGTCATTCCCACTAGTTCCTATGATGCCAAGCAATATAGATTTATTTGACTATACGTTCACAAAAATTTAAGAGTACCAAATAAGTAAGTAAAAACTAGGAGATGTAAGCTAAACTGTGTGATTTATAGAATAGAACGGTAGAAAAGGCAGGAACACGGCATACAAACACTTCCCAAAGGTCATTTTACATAGATTTTTATGTAAAGAAATGCTGTATTGTTGTTTTTTCAGAGCAACTTTCACTTCCACATGCATGTAAAGAAAACCAAAAAAAAATTGATGGCTAAGGAAAAAAAAAGGAAATTTCATCAATTTGACTTTTCACTTGCAAGTCTCTCGTTTAGCATCGTTACTCCCATATATCTGCAGCAACAGCAAGTAAACATAGAGTCAAATCAGTAACACTTGAGAATGTTAACAAAAAATGGCTAGAATGTTATTCTGGAAAATTAATCCTTGCATTTTTACCTTCCCAGCATCATAACAGTGGCTTGAGGATTTGTTCCAGGAGAGTCATAAAATGTAGAGCCATCGATAACTCGCAAGTTATCCACCCCTAAAACTTTATAATCTTCATCAACAACTCTATTAACTTGACATCCTCCATGGTAATGCCAAATGGTCATAACAGTATCTTTACAGAACTGTTCCAATGAAGTTGAGGCATTGCTATGTTTGGGCAACAGGTTCACCGGAGAATTCGCGGTCATGTTGAGGAGGACTTGTAAGGTCAAGTCATCATACCTAAATTTGGAGAAAGATTTTGATTCAATTATGCTTTCGATGACCTTAATGCCATCAACACATCGTTGTAAGTCCTCCGGTTCTTGGAAATAGTTGAATGTGACTGATGGATTTGCATTTGGGTTCTTCTGCCGAAGCATTAAGTAGCCATTTGAGAGAGGACCCATGGTTTTTTCCAGGATGAATCCACCGCTGAAAGCTACTGCATCAAGTTTGCTCATGTCATCGATAGCTTTGGCTAAGGCTTCTGGGGTTCTTTGTTTTGGTGGCAGTGTGCTGAGCTGACCAATCTGCAAATGCAAAAGCAAACGAGAAAAGAAAATTTCTTCTTGCAACTTTTGCTCCAATCAAGTTATATTGAAGCAATTTATAACTCTTGAATTCCAAAAAAAAAAAAAAAAAAAACTCTCGAATTAAATTTAGTTTCAATTATTAGTATATATGTACTTAACCACAATGGTTTTTTTTTTTTTTTTGGGGTAAATTAATGAGCAGTAAAACCCTGGCTGGTGGAGTGTGATTAATTGTTCAATTATGATCATCACATTATTGTCATTATCTCAACAGTCAGCAGAACTTAAGAAAAAATAAAAACAAACTCTCAACCTTCATGGAGTAGGATTAATCTGGTCATGCTTAATTGGCTATATGTAGTCAAGACTGGCATAATTTTGCTTTCCATGTTTTTCAAGCCAAATAAAGTGGCTGTCATGCATTCCATTTTTTTCAACTTGTAAAATAGTGAAACCTGCAATTATTGAGCATCCAATCGGAACAACTAGGAACGGTACTTCTCTCTGGATTGCTCGTGCCTGTGATCGTGATCCTGTCCCATATATGAAGCACCGCTCAGATGCAACAGGATTGGATCTCAAGTCTAATGGTACATATTTTTCTTTAATAAATAACAATAATAATAATAATAATAATGACAATAATGCTTCTGGGTTCACTATTGAATCAATTAAATTTGTGGCTTCATGTTGCTACAACTGATCATTCAAACAATGTGTTAAGTTTGGAGTGATCTTGGTACTTTTTCTCTCCAATTCTGCATGGACCCAAAAAGGAAAAAATTACCTGTAAAATGATTCTGTTTCAGCATTTGTATTGTTTGAAGAAAGAATTTATCTTTTGAAACGCAAATGTCAAGCTCATATAAATTAGTATAAATTATTACATGATCCTTCTACCATTTTAAACCATCCAAATAACCTCTACCTTACAGCTTTATGTAAAATGAAATTTTAATAGGAAAAACCTCTGTAACGTTGTTAGTTGAAATAATGGTATTACCGTTGTTGAAATACTACATAAATAGAATGAGGGTCTAATAACTTTTTTTTTATTTTTTATTTTTTTAAAAAAAAAAAACATTTTTGTCAACAAGTGGGGCTGGAATTCAAGGAATATAAGACTATAAGGAAATTCTGTTAGCATGAGCAAAACCATAGGAGGTTCACGGGATATTTACGCAAATTATAAGAAAATTAAGCGAATATCAAAATTTCATCAAATGCTTTTTTGGAGTGTCAGTTGCAAAAGGTGCTTTTCAACTCTTTCCACCTTACATAAAAGAGACCAAAGGAATACGTGTTAGAGAAATTAATTATGTGATGATAATATGCAAAACTGTAAGAGGGTTGTTATTGGTAATTTATCCTGTAAACTGTAAGTATGTCTCACATATCATCATTTTCAGGCCAGACAAACTTTTCCTAACTCGTACTCAACTTTGTGGCTCAGTGACGGTGGCTAGCTAAGAAATACTCCCTCCGTCCACTTTGATAGTCCTGTATTCCTTTTTTATCTGTCTCAAATTGTAATCTACTTTCCAATTGAAGAATGTAGTTATATTTTAATTTTCCTAAAATACCCTTATTCAATGTAAGTAGTTGTTACTATAAACCTACCCCATTTAATGAGAGTTGATTCTTTTTTTACCATCAATTCAAGTTCCCATAAAGTTGTACCATATTTAATATGAGGGTATTTTAGAAAAATAGAAATCTAAATTTACTTTTTCAACAAAGTTAACTATTTTTTCTTAAATTGTGTGAAAAAAGAAACGGGACTATCAAAGTGAGACGGAGGGAGTACTATGCATTTAAGCACAAGACGGCGAAATGCGGCCCATGATGTGGGGTTGGATCGTTATAGGCCATCATGCGTTTCTGACCAATGAATTTCTCTTGTTTTTCCCACCTCTCCTTTATTCTTTTGGCGCCGTCGACTTCCAACAAAATGTTTCTCCTTCATGCCCCACTGCTCGTCAATTCGTCCTATGTCCATTAATTTTTGCGTTTTGGTCATTTTTATGTGGTCCAGGAGTTAATTACAGAGGTTAATTTGATACAGCCCTTTAAATTCATGTTTCGACCGATTAATGATTGGTCAAAACAAGACAATCAATAAAATTTTCTTTGCCCTGTTCAAAACTTGCGGCCAACCAACTCTTCTCTTTGGCCTACAATACAATGCAACGGGTTACTTGCTCTTAGATGACTTAATAGTCATAAAATTTAGACTTTTCATACATGACAAATAATTGACAAATAGTCGTAAAATAAATTAATGTTATTAACAAACAAATACTTGACATTTAAATCCGTCGATGGTTATCTTTTTCATTTTTGCCTCTCTCACGATTAAGTTGCTGACTTTCGCTAATTTCCAACCAAATTCGTACCCAAGTTGCTCTGTAATCAAACACAAATTGGCAGCAACAATAGACTTTTTTATTTTTCTTTTGAGAAGGGATTCGACAACAATAGATTTGATTTCATGAAATAATGCAACTTGTAACGTAGGGAATGAGTAGATGCAGTGAATTTGTGTAAAGGACGTAAAATTACACTTTTAAAAATGAGGGACGAAAAAAGTCATCCTGTAAAATGTGAGAGACGTTTTGAACGATTTTCCCCAATAATTGATTTCCCGGTGGGATCGGATCACTGATGATGTGATCCTCTTCGTCCTCTAGTCAGCAGGCAATCAGGCACCACTGGCAAGCAGTTAAAACGAGTTCCATGTCCAGATAAGTCGGTTTCCTGACCACTGATTTTTGGTCCAGTCCTCCTTTTCACTCTACCTCTCCTCTTTTTAGTCATTCATGTGTTACCTGCAGGAACCAAATTAAGTCTTCAAATGACATACTTGCCTAATAAATTATACCATTAGTCCTCCAAATTAGAGAAATTTGTAATGTTCCTGCTGACCGCAATGATGCTCAACAACTAAATTCATCTCAAGGGAAATGTGGAAAAGTAATTGGCACTTCTTTGGTGAGATAATTGCAAGGTAATTGGCATTCAAACTGATGTCTGCATTTATGCCAACGACCAACTCCTAAGTTGCCAGCAGCACGGCCAGGGTAATTTCTTGAAACAAAGTCGATATAAGCAGGCAGCATACAAAGTACCATGTGATATTACAACATCAAAATGGATATGCAGCCCCTTAATTCAGAGCGTCTCGCTGCTACTTCCACTAAATCTTCTTTGCCATTTCAAAACTAGGCAAACAAACCTTAGTGGAAGCAGCAAAAAGAAGCATGAGAATTGAGCTACCCTATACATTTATAAGATGTTAAACTCCAACACGTTTAACCATTACAAAGAAAACTATTTAACAACAGAGAAATACAACAGTTCTATTAGTTCATCCTCTCCTCCTCCTATCTTCCACTTCCTCCTCTATTATATCTCTTGGCAAACAGCAGCGGGTAATAATGTAAGTTCTAGCACTTGTAATCAGCATTTAGGCATTAGCGTCATCCATTGCACAAAACTACACAGATTCAGAATATGAAGAAATTGCCAGTGATGCATCTGCATGCGGATCCAATCATTCTACTGCAGGGCAGCTGCTGATATCTTACTATCCTATCGTTAGGTCAGTCAGAAACACTTTCACAAACCAGTCAGCTGCTTATACCTTTCCCTCCGTTCCTCTAGGATAACATAATGCTTGTACTTCTAAAGTTTGTGCGAATGATGCATTTTGTCTTATAATACTAAACTACGCCCTAACTGCCCCGGTGAGCCCTCCAAAAACCAAAATAACAAAGCAAAATTTACTCCAGGTTTCACTGTCCCGTTGTTATCATCTATATGTAAGGAGAAGGATAGAGGATAGAAAGCTATGGTCTTATTTTCGGCAACGATGGCCCATTGGCCACACTCGACTATTTGCCTTGGGGCCGTTCAACCATTTTGACTCGTATTTTTTTGCCCAATCAGGAGCAATTAACTGCAGAGCATTATGTACACACTTGTGATAAGAAAAGTCTGCAACAGTCCCATCTTTCCTTACCAACACAAAGCAGCGAGAATTATCATATTCTGAGTGATATCCCACCTGTAAAAAGCAAGGAGATAAATGTGAGGTGAATAAATTCAGAATGTGCAGCCAAGCCAATGCAAATAACGGAAAGGCAGAGGCAACTACACGTCCAAAAAGGAATTGAGTCTCCCAGTGTGTTGAATCCCACTTCCCACATTCCAAGAGCAAATGATATTCACATTATATCATAAAAGTCAATTTGATATAACAAAAAAATCTCTTGAACGTTGGCTCTTGCTTTTCTCATTTTGCAGGAAGCTTTTCTTCTGCTCTGTTATTCTATTCTGCCTCCCCAACCCCAACCCTTCCCCCCCCCCCTGGGTGCCCAAAAAAAATGAGATAATAAGGAAAAAAGACCCACACGCGCGCACAGACACCCATACAGGGGAAAAAATAATGGAGAAAAGAAAAATCCCGAGTGTCCAAAGTTTTAGACTACAATATGTGATTACCACATTTAGGAGACATGAAGACGTAAAGATCATCCTTTAAAACAATCACAATGATATCGGCTAAAAGAATTAGGTTCTGATATTTAGGAATAAAGGAAAATAAGCTTTTTTGAGCCCTTGAGCTAAAAAACAATTTAACTGCTTTTACAGTGAGCTTTGTCTCCATTGTTCTGTCACCAAATGGTTTGATTGGTGGATACAAGCATAGCATCAGAAATTATGGAAACAAAGGCTCTTCACTTCCCTTCCCTAGTAAAAAGACTGACCATAGTAACTGTTGGAAGCAAACTCATTGAACCTGATTTATATCTTCCATGAGAGGCCCAATCTCCCAAAAAGGGAAAAAGCAATAAACCTTGATATTTTCATCAATTTCAGCCAAAAAAAAAAAAAAATCTCTAATCATAGGCTATAATCTACAATATCTCAAAGCAGGTTCATTCAAGAAACTGTAAGCAACTAATTGCCACAAACTCTGAGCAGCTTCATTTCGAAAACAAGAAAATGAAAAAGATAGAGAATGAAATGTTCTCCAACATTTTTATATTTCTATACTCGCTTTACCTTAATTTCATGAGCCCCTATTCCAATCTTCTCACTGCTTCGAGGATGAAAACTTAAAGCAGCCATTACAATAGTCTTATCTATTTCACTGAGCTGGCAATCAACATCATACCTTACAAAATGAGAAAAGGAGGAGGAACATTACTGAAAAGAACTCAAATTAGAGACTAACAAAGAGCAGTGAGATCAAAACAAAGAGAATAAGCCATCCATAATGTTGAATGAGATAAAATTCTTCATCAGCAATGCATGATCAAGAAAATAAAGCTTGCATCTATCAGTTTATGCTAGCAAGAGAAAATGTTGATGATCAACACAAGTCTTTCACCCAGCAGGGCATCTTAGGGAATAAAACAGTTCAATAATCTAAAACAAATGCTCCTTGTGCAACAAGTATTTGCAGGACTAAGGAAAAACGTTGTAAATCCTAATTCAAAGTAAATCTGGTTGTTAATAAAGCTAGATCCTTGATAGAGAGGCCCTGTCAAAAAAGCAATGACCAGAAGAGTTGCAGTATACCTAACTAACATATAAATTTTCCAACAGATTCATGTAATGCAAATCTATGCTGCTAGGCAAAAGATGTTTCAAAACTCATGATATATTCTGAAAATAAGAAGGTAAAATACAGATGAACAACAAATATCAAATTGAATGCAGTCAATGTCTAAGCATTATGTAATTACCAAAAAAGAATGAACTCATGCATGCAAATTAATTACTATTACAATGTATGAGTTTATATAATGGGGTAAGAAAAAGGAAACTGAATAGGTAGCATACTTATTTAACATATGTTTCAAGCTGTGAGAGAGCTTTTGGATATCTTTCAATGAGAAGAAATTCCGCAAGAGTGTCCGTGGGAGAATGCATCCCTTTGTCGCTAAATCATCATATGCAAATAAATGTTGCACAATAGATTTTCCAGACATTTCATAGTCTTTGTTCGGAAACTTCACTTGCTGATTCAAGTTGACAATGCTACCCAGCAGATCGTAGACATCTATGGACTTAGCAGGTTCATGACCCTAACAGAAGACAAACACATGGATGTAAGAACTATTTCAAACATTTACCAGAAAGACCGCAATGTTTTCAAAGCCTACAAGCGAACTGCATTTTAACTTACATTTGTAACAACTGTTATGGAAGATAAACTGTAAAATCAAGGTAACTTGGAGGATTGAAATGGAATTGGATTATTAAAAGATAAAATTGCTAAGAGCATAATAGCATGTATGGCAAAAAAATTGACAACACATGTTTTTCCAAAATAATGCCTTCAATTCTCTCAGGTTCAATTAAAACATATACAACAAAACAATATGATTCAGGATTCATGCTACTGAAACATGAATATTGCTAAATGGAGATTAGCAAGGAATATAAAATCACAAGAGCCAGATTCAAGAAAGATTTGGATGTTGGTACAATCTTCTGGTGTGTTTGGTAAAACGAAAATCACAAAGGATGGTACTAGTCATTGGACTCATTTGTTTTTTTGTGGTATTGAAATTTACCAATTACAACTTATTCAGATCTTAAGCATTTAAGCTGATTTATGGGTAAAAGGTGTATTTCCCAAAAAAAAATCCTAAAATTCCAGGAGGGAAGTTAATTCAGATCGACAAGCCCAGTTTCCAAGTCACACAAGATCTCCATCTTTGAGCATAGAAGCTATTTGTGTATGATGAACAGGTGGAGGGTAAAAGTCAATTGCCAATAACAACAATTTATTGATTCTTTTTCTGTAAACCTTCTCTTAGTTTAAACATCTTATTCCTCAATAATTATGGAAGAAGTACAGATAAACAGAACCAAAGAAGAGTATGAGGAGGCCAATTACATTAGCGTGGTTTTGTCTACCAGTTAATTGTGATAAAGAAGAAGAGCATCGAAGATGCACTATTGTCATCAAGAAACATGTTTGCTATGGCACTCAAGAGAGGCTCAAACAGATGTCCACCAATATGTGGGACAGCAAAGGTAGAACAAATGGAGGGGGAATTGTGGAGGCTCAAAGGAATTAGCTGATTTCAAATATGAGGTGGCATCTGAAGATGTAACTATGTGATTTACTGCAATGTGCTTATTTGTTTACGAGATTTGTCTTTGATCATTGATAAGTATCAATTACAGCTGTCTGACCAAAGAATCAATCTGTACTTATTTCAATATGGCAGCCCATATGTATGATTTTAACAATACCGATGTTACCATAAGTTATCAATATTGTCTACCTTCCCAGAATAAATGATATCAAATCGAGCACCAGTCCCTATTGAAGGAACCATTCCCCATGACAAGGCATCTACAGTTCCTTGAAGATTATCCACAATTCCCGTCTTGGCAGCTCTAACAAAGCAATCACCTGGGCTCTGCAACAATTTCAATGTACAGGAAACATCACAGTAGCAGGTTAAGGAATTGTGTCCAGATGGAGGACAAGTAGAAAAACCAGCAAAAGAAACGTGAATTGAAGGTAACTAACAGAAAAGCATGCTTGCAGAAAGGGTGAAGAAACAGCAGTCTCCTTTCTTTGCTGTGCCAGCCCTTTGGCATTTAAAGCAACAAATTCTCCAGTAGCAGAAAGGCAATCTGCAGTAAGAACTAAATGTTCTGGGAGAATTGTTTTCCCAGTATCACTGATTGCAGAATTGAGACTCTGCATTAAAGTGAAAATTGATAATGTGTTTATTCTTCCTCTGGTTGGGAAAAAAGAAAAATAAAAAGGGCTAATATAGAGTTAATAGGACCTTAAAAGGCATAACTCACACTTAGAAAGTGGTTTACTGCAGCATCAATGCCATAAGCTGGAGCCATATCATGAATATCATCTGGATGACTGCGTTCCCAATCAATGAGATCTCTTATGCGGAGGCAATTGTCCACAAGGACACTCCAGAATTTCGTTCTGTCACACTTCTCTGACATGAAAACCCGCAAATAAACTCCACCCAAAGAGCCTTTAGAAGATTTTGATGAATTCCGACAATCTTTCCACATGATATCAACTTTCTTAAATTCTGGGAACCCTATTTAACAAACAAAGATGATAATTTCGCAGTTACACATTTGTATTTTCCACATAAGTATATTCATCAACTCTACAATGCTTATACATATATTCATACGTTCTTTGGAAGCTCTGCCATAATTTTGCACAAGCAAAGTAGAATTAACATGAATAGCAAAGGCTTCGTTATTAAGTGATTCCATGTGATGCTGATAGATATGACAGTGAGTTGGTAGTACAATAGTTGAAGTAAACTAACCTTTTATAACAGTTCCAAGGAGGAACGGCATTACCATATTTCGAAGGATATCCAGACGTAAAGATGATTTCTTGGACTTCTCAAGAATTGAAACTGTGAGGCATATCTTGGTATCCTTTTCATTTTGCTTTAAAGCTAGAGAACACGCCCTAATGTAAAATAAGCAAGCCAAGTTAAACATGAAATAAGACTTTACCCGAGAACACTAGAAAATGAATGGAATGAGAATAACATTCTAGATAAACCATGTAGCTTTGATGTCCATTTTTAAATGTCTTCCAGATAAAGCAGTAAAAATTATGCCATGTTCTGGAGGACACCTCCATTTTGAATATAAGATCTCAACCTTTTGCATTCCACTAATGTTTAAGGGATTAGCAAATTCACTTTGATATTCTTTTATCTAATAGTCAAGCAAGATAGAGAATCCATGCAAAATCCACCTCGTTCATACACTCCTAATAAATGTAATAGCAGCCAGTATGATAATTTTCTATAATCAAAACATCTTACTTTCCCGTTATCTGCAGGTCTGGAAGATTTATTTTCAATTTTACTTTAGCAGATCTCCATGCCATGTTAAGAGCATCAATTATTGACTGCACCCTGAGCCTTTTCCTCTTGATAATTTCCTGAAAGAAGTGGCCTTACAAATTATCAGGAAAGATATTCAGAGAAAGAAATTATCACAGGTATACAGTCTCAACATACAGGGGAAAAAGAATTCATCTTCAATTGCATTACCTTGGATATATGAAAATGACAAATCCAAGGACTTATTTGACTGCGACTACATTTCTCCTTGGAGTAGCTAGTACACATTATACCATACATAAATTAGACTAACGTGAGATTAGGCATATTAAAATGTCATCAAACCAAAAAGTTATGAAGAAGCATGCTTTGTATGCAATATCAGAAAAATTACCTGATCATTGAAGAAGAAACTACGTCTTCGAGCATTAGCCTCTCCAAATGATCCTTCACTTCTAATGCTCCATATTCAAGACCATAGGTCTGCCTTCCAAGTTTCTTACACAAAAAGATTGATGCAGTCTTATCACCACTGCTCTTTTTCACTCCACAATCTAGAATTTTCTGCACATTTAAATTGGAATACCACAATAATGTAAGTCACCCCAATTTAACAGCAAAATTACATGTAGTTGTCAATTATTAGTATAGGGCAAGCTATTGAGGTTTTGGCAGAACCATCAGTTTAGAGCGCCTAGCCAGGAGAAAGAAGTGATACATGCCCATATATTATAGGAAGTCAATTACAATTCAAAAAGCTAAGACTTCTTGCTAGACCACTTATTACTCAGCATAGTACAAAGAGTATTCCTCTCTTGTATGTGACGAAAAAAATTAGAATGCAGCATGCAACCTAAGCATAGATTTCAAAGAGCATTTACTAGGTTTCCCCACAAAGAATGACAAAATAGTCCTGAAAAGAAAAGAGAACAGACCATATCCTTTTTTAGTTAGTTTGCATAGCAAGGCCTCATTTTGCATAGATCTTTTAGTGGCCATCACTCATCTTATATTCAATCCAAAACATATATAACACAACAGAAAAATTAAACAGACTGCAAGAAAGAAGGTTGAAAACTGCCATATAATCTTAAAGTAAGAACTCATTTTTAATAAGAACAAATTGATTAAGATTTGCAGCACCCACAGACCAAATAATTTAAAATCAACTCATTACTACACAACATTTTGTTGAGCAAGCAAATAAAAATTACTACAAACTAGCTCATGAAAGAAATTCAGAAAAAATGTTGGGAAGATAAAGCTAATAAACATAAAACAAATAAAGCCAATAAGATAACTGAATAAGAGGCATGCATAGATAAATACAAACAAAAAATGCACAAGAGAGATGGGAACCTTCAGGTTCAGGAGTGGTGATGATTCAAGTGCACTAATAGGCAAGTCTAATGCACTGTATGCGGCTTCAGAAATCGCACAAGCAGCCAGTGCACCAACAGGATGACCACCCACAACATCATAAGCTGGAATTGTCTCACTGGGAGACTCATCATTGCAGTTACAGGGAGTCAGAGTATCTCTGCTATTGTATGAAAACTGAATAAGTTGATTTCCATAAGAATTTCTTACTGTTCCATCATATCCAATGCTTAGATCACGCATGAAAAACATAAGTTTCCGGGTCAAAGTCCCAGACACATCTGCATGACCACTGAAAGAACTATCTCGAGTTGTCAATGAATGCACAAAACATTCCATAGGATTTAAGCCTGTTAGAAATGAATTTTCAATGACAGCAAACGGGATGTAAGAACCGGAATGATCTAAGGTACCATGAGATTCATGAACAGAGATCTTATGATAATTCCAGGTAGCACAAGAAAGCTGATGGGGAATACTAAAGGATAATGGAACCACTGAATGCTGCAAACCAAGACACATACTGTGCTGAACTAATTTTAGCAAGTTGCCCTTGCTTCCAGCCATTAACATAGATAAAAATGAGTTATCCTTGCTCACATAGTGGTACACCAAATGCTGAACATCCAAAAACACTTGCTTAAAAGCAGAAACAGAAGCTTCACTGAGTACTGAGGAGTTCTGCTGCTGAATAGAAGACAAATGCTGTTCTCCAAAATCTACACTACGTTTGTTTGCTTCAGTGCTTTCAACAAGGAAATCTTGATTGGAACCCATCATCAGAAGTCTGATTGAAGATAGCAGCTCTGCTTCTTGCAGCCCACAAGAGACTTCTTCAATCATATTTTGTCTGGAATATGCATCAGAAGTAAGGTAAAGATCAGAGAGTGATACACTTAGCCCTCTCATTGCCAACCACTCACAAAGAACTTCCTGTGCAGCACACAGAAAGCCAAGAACTTCATTTTTACAGCATCTAACAAGACTATGGAAGAGGTTCCCATCGTTATCCCGCAGCCAAGAAGACCCACTAGAAGAAGTAACAATTTCCCCTTTGCTTATCTGCACACCATTTGACTGTGAAACATAATCAAAACATGGAGGAATAAGTAGGGAAAATAATTGTTTCCCTGTCCAAAAACACTTGTTTCCAGGGGCTTTGGTGATAGCAGGAATTGGCATTGGGCAAGAGCAAAACATCTGCAATTGCTGCATTTGAAACTTGTCCAAAGTCACCCCATCCTCCAAAATTAAATGAGCTGCAGTTAAACTATCATGACTTAGTGACAAAAGGTTTCGACCACTCTGCCCATTAAGTAGCTGTTTGTTTAGAGCAACAAGTTCATTGAGTTCAACTCTAGAATCAACTGATTGAGATACATAACCATGAAGGCAGTCACCATCAAAATCTCCACGGAGAGGAGAACAAATAAGAGGATTGATAGAGAGAACTGAATTTATTGGAAGAATTCTGACAGATAGGGAAAGCATGGAGTGCTGATGGATAGACGGAGGCCTGTTTATCAAAACAATATCTCCATCAAGCATAGGCCTATACAAAACATCTCCACAACACAGCTTGTCAATGATACTAAGTTTCTCAAGTCTACCTCCTCTACGAACACAAATCTCTCCACCACCAACAAGTATTAGGGCAACATAATCCTTTAGCTTCCCAAAGTTCCACTTGTTCACATGCTCAGAGACAAGCAGCTTTTCTGCAATATGACGAGGCATGCCAATTTCACCAAGATTTATATTTGGATCGCCAACTACAACCATGCGAAAAGCATGATCAGTTCGCTTTCCCAAAAGTAGTTCTTTGATATACTTTAAACCAGATGTAGCAACAGCAGAATCTTTAAAACCAAGCACACTGAAAGCAGAATTTATAGCTGATGACTTTTCAGATCGAACCTATAGCAAAAATGTAAAATATACACAATAATCTTTGTCAAAGGCCATCTTTGTATGTTTTCTTAGTCTTTTAAAGTTTGACTGGAAAAGGGAAGAGAACATGAATCAGGTTCTTGTACCTTTGAAACTTTAATGAGGTCCAGAACACGAGCACTCAGTTCGTTGGCAGTTCCTCTAAAATCAATCAATTTTTTGTACAACTTTGTTTTTGTGTCCTGCATATCATTTCCAGATTATAGAATAGGAAATATAATATTTCACTAATTATATCAAGCAAAATACTGTATATTTCACTTACAAAAGTTATATGTTGTCCCAATTCTGTCACACGATGACAGTTGGGAGTCAAAAGAAAACAGTTAAGGAAGACAGAGCTTTTCCTTTTCAGAAATGATTCAAGGAACCTCGGGTCAACATCTTTTAAGATGTTATAAACCTAAAAAACAAAAGAATTATTAGAGAGAGAGATGAGCAACAAGGATAGGTCATACAAAATTGATAGCAAAAACAGAAGAAAGGCTTTGGAGAGGATATAACATCAAACAACAGATAGCAAAAAAAACATAGTCTAAATCACAAAAAAGTCCATATAGCACATAATTATAGCTTGCTAATTTACATTAGAAAAGCAATGCAGACAATCCAAGCCATTTGACCCCATGACTAATGAAGCAAGGAAGACATAATATGTCACTTCACCAATATGAGGGCAGGATACTGGGTAGCATGGGTATATAGCAGTTACACAAACTTCATAACCACATTTCCATTGTCAACCAGCATTGATAACTTATTTTATCTGGTTCTTACTCAAACTGCAGACAAAAACCCTCTTCATGGAAAACACTATTAAAATCCAAGATCTTATTTTTTATCTTTTTATTGCTTTGAATGCCATTTTTCGTCAATTAGCATTGCTGAAACTTGGAACTTCTTTTATTTATGAACAAATCAAGTACAGTGCTTTATCATCTAAGAAGGTTTTAATACCTTCACATGTTCCTTTCCTACATGATAACCATACATTAGCATCATACTCACCACCCCTCGCAATCTTAGCTTTGACATGATTCTGATACGAGAGGTTATTGCTAGCAATTATACTAGTTTTTAGGTTCCCATCCTTTAGGCAAAAATGCTTGGTTATTATGATTTTTTCAGGGGAAAATTCCAATTTTAAGGATCTCATTGTTGGTGTATTCCATAAGATTACAGTGCAATTGCATTGAATCATCATTGTCAGAATAGCAATAAGATCCAAATGGTGCTATAACAAAACACTCTTGATTAGAGAACTATCAAATAGATAAATGATGTTACTCCCAGATTCGTTGTTTATCAGAGTGTTCCACCTGGGTAGTGAATTATGAACTTATAGTTTCTCTATGCAGACAAAAATTAATTTAATTGCAATGTTGAGGAGAAAAACAGTGCACAAATTACTCATATTTAATACACATCAGCATTATATGCTTGTTACCTGGGCATGTGACAGAAGGCGTTTATTTGATCCCAAATTACTTAGATCTTGCTGAGCATCAGAAGGAATAATATCCCAATAATCAGAAGCCATTGACCCATTTGAACTCCTATTGCTTGATGACCTTTCGCTCACTTCTGCACTTATTGCAGTTTTGGCGAAGACATCTTTTGAAGTCACTTTGAATTTCATTGGTGGATAAGAATCTCTTGACCTTCCCTGCTCATTTAACCAGAGATACATCAGTTAAGAACTACCAGTAGCCTGTTAGGAAGACATATTGATACAGAATGAACCTTACATCACAATATTTACAAGTATCAGAGTGGTCACGCACAGATGTTGATCCAGAGCTCTGATACAGGCAAAACAAACAAGGATTATGGACTAGCAAGTGACTGAAAATAACTATTTAAGAAATAGAATGCATAGATAAACAGTACTTATTGGATCATATAATGGTCAAGCCTATATCACTAATTTTCTCAAGAGAATTGCCAAAAAAGAAAAAAAAATGAAAAGACACTCAAGTAAAGTCATAATATCAGGAAGAAAATTTTCAAGCAGGAACTGCATTTTAAAGAAATGAAAAATTATCAGCATCAATTAGATTCTTCTGATATTCTTCAGGAAAAGTAAGGTAGTTCTTCCAGTCTCACTTCATGATCATGGACCCAAAGGACCTAAAATCAACTTCTAAAATTGATGCCCAGGATGAAAAGGCCTCTAAAATTAAAATGCGATGAAGTATTGTATCTAATCAGCTCCACAACAAATGAATAGAAGAACCACAAAGAAATACTCTGTTTACTGCCAAAATAATAAACTTTAGATGTATATGACAGTCATTAGATGAATTAATCGACTCTACACAAAGCCCATAGAATTCGTCTCCGTGCACCAAGAGTAAGTCCAGAAAATCATCCAATGCATTTTTTGATATGTAAATAGTCAAATAGACTGCTGGCTCTGTATATGTTTATACAGAATGAAGAAGCCAGTATCAAGCCTTGAATACTTCAGATCTAGCCAGTTAAATCCGAAAGAGTACACCAAATTTGTCTCCTTTCCGTACAGCTAACTAGATTTAATTCTTCCTCAACTTTTTAAAGCAAAAAAATAGCAAGTCAGGTACTTCTGCCAACAAACATCCTTCATCTCCGAATTCAGTTGATCAATTCAGAAACATTTATCATGAAATGATTATTTAGTCAAGCTTACCAACAGAAAGTATATATTATATAACCCTAGAATCATTAATCATCTCAAACAACCTTAATGATTACTAAAAGGAGCATAGTACCTGACCTTAACCTTATTAACATGAACAGATTTGCATGCCGGACAGATCTTATTTAAAATCTGTGCAACCTCTGGTAAGAAATATGGGTTGAGAATTGTAAAAGGGAAGTTGATTAAACCAAAATGACCTGCAAAACAGACAATTTGTAGTCCCTCATGTAATACTATCACAGCAGCATATCACAAATTAGCATATAGAATATAAGTTCCAATTGTACCTTCACATTCTCTTCTGTCTTTGGCACCACAAGTATTGCAATGGTTAATTAGATTAGGAAAACCCAAAGCAGGATCTGTCACTTCACTGGCAGCTCCAATTAGCTTCACTGATTTCCTTACCTATGAAGTGGCAAGGAAAACTTTTAAACAGAAGCCATAGCAACATCATATCCAAAGAGTTCTACTAAAGGGCAACTACAGTTTAACCAAAAATATCAACAAACTTCCCTCCCTGACCCCTGCATTCTCTCTCTCTGTGTAATTAATCAGTAGATATCTCACCACGAGACGTGTTGGATCCACAAATCTAACTGTTCTATTTTCATGTTTACATAGTTAAGAGAGAAACAAACTTGTCACAATTGCAAAAGTAAAAACTCATCTTTTAAAGAGACCTGGGTAAATCAGAAAACATAGGGACCACGCACATGGTTCCAAGTTCCTTACATACTGACATTGCACATAAGTTTTAGCAATGTCATAAGCATGCTGACATTTCAGGCCAGTGTCAGAGTTCTCTATTAAAGAAAAGTTTAGTTCAAGAGAAAGCCATCATTTGATGTTTATACTTACTGCATCAGCCTCAGATAAAATGTTGAAAGAAATGCTCATTAGGCGACCTTTCTGCTCTAGCTTCTCTGAATGCTCAATATCAATTGTCGCCCGATCCATATTTAGTTCTGAAATTGACAAGTTTGGCCGTAAGAGTCTAGCAGATTCATATATCAAGCAAGCTGAAAATGAAATTTCCAGAAAGAAGAAAGGCAAAGGCAAATCATGATGCATTGAATTTCAAGAATTTTTAGTTAGTACTTTAAATATTTAAATTTAATCTTTTCCTAATGGGTTAGGCTACAATGAAAGGTACTAACCATTAAAATACCAAAGAAATAAAAAGGTATTATATTGAATGGTTGCACCTTAATCTAAATCACATTTTAATTTGTAAACTTTTTCTAATAGGCCCAGGACATGCATGTAAAAGAAAAATCAGTTGCGGTTAGATATGGACCTGGGTGGCCAGCAAAGCTAGTTTTCAATGAGCAAATTCTAATGGAAATCAGATTTTAATGGACCAGAACTTGCACATCCAGCGATGGAAGGCAGGTTCTTTTTTCTGTTAGGTTAGAAGTTATAGCATGGAAAAATTTATAGCCTGGAAAAGAAAAAGATTGATGATACAAAGCCATAACAAGTCTTAGCAGATTGTCGCCAACTCCTGCTAAAGTTCTAGAATGGTAAAAGTAAGCTATATGCATGTTAAAGGCATTGAGACCATAATTGCATGCTACATGGTATAGTTATTAGCCAACAATTTCCTACACAACAGGCTTGATAAGTAAATTATGGAACTTCTTCATGTTCTTCTGATGCATTTTACTTTTGAACGCTTGGTGACTTGGCTTACCTGTTCATATACCAAGAGAATCATCAGGAGGAAATCAATGACATATGGAAGAAGGCTCGAGATTTAAAGTCTTGATATATTTCCACTACACTCCCACTCATAATCTCACATGTCAATCATAGATACAGCAAGTGTATCCCTTATGATAGAAAAAACTGTTTCGGGATCTCTACCTTCTCTAATACCCTCTTTAGTTGTCAAATCATTTACAGGTTTAAACTATTAGAAGAATATTAATTCAGAAGAAAACATTAACTTTACTTTCCAATTTGAATTGAGCATTTCAAACAGGCCTGATCATGTGAGCATATTTTCTTCAACTACTCTACTATACCATGTGGACTGCGTGTATGTAATGAAGAGAACCTCATACATTTATTTAGACACATACAAATCAAAATAGAAACTCTGAGGTTACCAGATTGGAACCAGATATTAGAATTTCAAGAGAAGACTTTTGTGCAGATACCCACTGGCTCAGCAGGAAAACTCAGTGGAGATACTCTCTATACATACTCCAGTCTTTACCCAAACATAACCACTGTCTGCAGCAGAAAAACACATATGCCAGTGGATCAATACTAGAAGTTATGAAACAATTGGAACAAAAATAAGTAATTAATAGTCAACTCATCACTTTCCTGCTGTTTAACAAACTTCATTTTTCTAAAAAGAAACAATATCCAAATCTCGCTTTCAAAGTGCATATATTAATGAAAACCAAATCTACAGTGGCTTTTATTGGAAGGTCGATGTCAGGAAAAAGAAGGTGAAACAGCCTCCTATTGCTGCCTCTGTTAAACTTCTTCCATCTGTGAATTCTCTAACCATGGATTCTATACCTCCTAACACTAAACGAATTTGTTTCATCGACCTTCTATGAAACATAAAATATATCATCCATAAGGTAGAGATACCCAGCTGTTGAAAACCCAAAAAAGGTTGATATCATCATCTCCATAGTTTTCAAATTTATTCATTACACAGACTTTTTCCATGCTTTATATTGTTAACACACCCAATTTATCTAACAATCATATAACAACTAATCCCAAAGCTTCCAAATCAGGGTAGGGATATTCTAAAATACACCTGGTAGAGATATTTTCTTAAGATGTCCCACTGATGGATTTGGAAAAGATTTAAATTCAGAAAATTTGCCAACTTTCATGCCAGAATTCTAGGTTCATTATATCCAGAGTTACCCAAACTTTTAACAACCTTTCAAACTTTAATGGTCAGACCTTATAAAATCTCAACCATGAAGTCCACTCAACTCTGGAAATTATTATTATTATTATTATTAAAATGACCTTTCTTCATACTAGAAAATGCAACTCTGAACTTGTAAAACTCAAGGGAAAGCGATCCTCCCTCAGCAGATACAGAATGCATTTCCACTGCTGCCAAAACAACTTTTCTGGCCTTCTATACTATCAAGCCCAAGAACGCAATGAACATCAATTACTGGTAAAAAGTAATCTCACAAGAGAGGCAGTAAAAGAAATGAATAATAGGCTTAGGCAGTGTTTAAATGGAAAACCATATTGTTTACATTTTCAATATTTACTAGCAGTTCTCTGAGACTTTCAGAACCATAAGTATAGCAGGTTGTGTTCTGTTCACCAGCAGTGCAAACACAATACATTCGATGTATCAAAACATCGCCTGCTTTAATTTGGAATGACACCGTGAAATGCAGCAACAACAACACACAATAAAATATGTGCAGACAAAAGACGATATGATAATGGTGTGCCCATTCACAAAAAAGCAGTTCCCTTGGACACAACAATTATCCTATATTTTCCCTCAAAAAATTACTAAATGCTATGACACATGGCAATTCATATAACATCTAAGATAGATAAATTAAAAGAAAATCACTTGCCAAATACGCTCCCCCCAAAAGAATAAAAATAAATAAAGAATAAAATATCCGAAATACAACTAGTTCGTAACTTTCATTATATTCATCATGAAAGAAACAATGATTGATTACATTCATTAAAGCCTCGATAATCGAGAGAAAAGGAAAAAAAAAGATTCCTTTCTTTTATTACCTTACAATATTCATTAAACCGAATTCATCACAATCCAGCAAACATTATCATGAGACACAATAATTCATCACAGGACATCAGCTACATTTTGGGGCGGGGCGGGGGGGGGGGAGGAATTCCTCCATTACACACAGTTAACAATTCATGAAATTCCAGTTCCTCCATTACACACAATTAACAACCATTCATGAAATTCCAGCAAAGTCATCATTCATAAAACAAAATCATCGAACAAACTGATAAAGCATCTATACAGGATACAGAATTAACAAAATAACATATTTCCATACTTTGCATCAACTACTCATAAAAAGCAATCTAACAAGACTTTCTGAACCATCTGTATAGCAAGATTGAGTTCCACGCGCCAGCAATGCAAATATGATAATGAATCCGAAGATCGCCTGCTGTAATTTGGAGTGATACTATGAAATGCAGCAACATCATAATGCAATAGAAAACATGCAGACAAAGAACGATATGACCAAAAAAATCAATTAATGGTGTGTGCAGCGACAACAAAGCAGCTCCTTAGATAAAGCAATTTTGTCAAAGTATTTGCCCCAAAAAAACTACTAGAATGCTATGACCCATGGCAATTCACCTAAAATCCAAGATAGATACAGGACCCTTACTTGCCAAACACCCCCCAGCCCCAAAAAAAAATTAAATTAAGGAACAAAGAGAATCTGAAACATGACTTGTTCATCACTTTTATTAAATTCATCATAAAACACACAATGATTGGTCGCGTTAATTAAAGCCTTGATGATAGACAGAAAAGGAACTAAAGAAAATTCCTTCTTCTTATCACCCTACAAATATGCATTTAACCCAGATTCATCAAATTCCAGCAGGTATTATCATGAAACACACAATCACTTATCACATTGGACAACAGCTACTGTACTGGACAGAAGAGGAACCCCCTAGCTCCAGCAAAGGTCATCATTCATGAAAAAAATTAAATGATCAAGCCAATAAAGCTACCATATTGGATAGGATACAAAAATAACACCAAGAAATTCCCGTACTTTCCATCAGCTGAAAACAACACAATAATCACAATTCATCTAATTCAAGCAATAACTCAATCCCCACATTGCTCAATTCCTCAAAAACTCTTAACCAGCCAACCCCAATTTTATCTACACATGCAAAAGCCAATTCATGCAAAGATCAATAACCATGATCAGATACCAAAAGAAAAATGCGTCCACAAAACATAGGAAGAGACTTGTACATTAGCACAAACTCTTTATCTATTTTCTACTTGCAGAAACGCGTGATCATCAAGAAAACAAAATCCCACATCAACAGAACTCCATAAAAACCCACAAACCATCTCATGATCACAAATGTACAAAACCCACATTGATAATCAACAGCCCAGAAAAACAAATTCAAGACACCACTCCAAACAACCAACAAAAAAGCACCGAAAAGGAAACAAGCAAAAGAACCCAATAATTCAGTTACCTTTACTAGTCAGTTGAATCTTTGGTGAGGAAGACGGATTCTTCTTCTCAAAAGAGGCACGGGGAGTCCAGGAGCTTCAAGAGGTTTGTTTTGAAGCAGCAGAGTAGAGCAGCGCCTGTTACTCTACCAGCGCCCCCGAAGAGCTATGGGTTGTTATGATGCTAAGAGCAGAGTCTTATTATAGGCATACAGTTTGTAAGCAATACTTTTTGACTCTTTGTTGACAAAATTGTAATTAGTCGCGAAATTGCAAGCACTTCAAGGAGGAAGGAAATACTCGGATATGACTAGTTTACACAAACAACCCTTTGAACCGGACGGTCAGGATTGACCAATATCACCTATTATGTGTTTTGGACAAATATTTTAAAAATATTTGAATTTGTGACATTCCAATGGGAGTACTGTTATTTTTTATCTGGTGGCCAACTTATGTCAGATGAGTTAGTTAATATAATAATGTTAGATAATTTTAAACCGTCAAGATTGATTATGTTGTCTTAAGTAAGTAATATTGGAGCCGTGATATGAAAAATTAAAATTTAAAAATTTCAATTACAACCATGGAACTGACTAAAAATTTTGAGAATAAATATGCATAATATTTGATTTTTTAAATCTATAATTATGGAAAGAAATTTTTTTCTCACAATAAAATGATAAGCTCATTAAGTTGATAAATGCCAACAACTGAAATTATTAAAATACTTTTATGTTAAAAAGGTTTGAATACATCTGTTGCCATTTATAATAGTTATGTCATATCCCTAAAATAAACGCACACAAACGCATGGACACACCCCCATTATTCTAGTCTAATATAACTTCCAGTAAAATAATGATCGTCAACAACTTCCTATCAAAAAAAAAAGAAAAACACAATTCTTCTAAAAAAAAAAACCTCCAACAACTACTAAAAATTTTGATAATTTTTTCTTTTAAAGATTTTTCCTTCTATATTTGCACACACATTGGGTGTGCCATCCCCACTAGTACATATGATGTCTATGAATATACTCATCAATTACATGGTATATCACATATTACATAATCTACTATCTAAACACACTCTAATTGAAGGGTTAAAACTTATTAATTAATAATTGAAGAGTTAAAAGTTAAATTTCATAATAATTTGAGGGCCACTATGACATTTTGCCCCTAAATTTATCCAAGTATTTGCCAAATAATGAAATGCTTTTTTCCTTTTTCTTTTTTTTTTTTTTTGAAGGATGAAATGCTTTAAGTGGGCAGATCAATCATGGCCCAGCAAGGTCCATGACTTCACGGTAGACCAAATATATCTAAGCATCTATTACTCGCTTTTTGAGGGAAAAAAGATAGTTTGTAACCGTCCGATGCTTTGTAATTAAACCGCAAAAGGATTTTTTTTTTTTTTTTTTTTTTGGTAAAAATGATGCACAAATTAAATAATAAAAACCAGAGAAAGACAACTAATACGGTAGCGTCAAGTTGGCGACAAAAGTTGTGGGGCTAGATTCTGTCAGACATTAAACCCTTTTATGATCTATATTTACTATCTCGTCCTTTGTGATTCCTTTTTTTTTTCCAAAAATATGTTATTTGCACCCCATTTTTTATTATTTGCATACCTATCATTTCTTTTTATCATATAATCTAATAAATGAAACTATATCATTAGAATGATAACTATATCATTAGAATGATGTACCATTTGTTTTATTATATAATCTAATAAATAAAAACTATATGATTAGAATGATAATAGGAATGTGATTAACAAAATAGGAGCGCAAATAACAATTTTCATCTTTTTTTTCAAAATGGAAAAGTTGGCTTTGTTATTTAGAGGGGCTCCCCGCCCCTCTTCCCAACCCACCCATCTAGAGATTTCTAATTTCCTGGAATTAAGTAGGTGTGTCAATTGAGTCAAAAACATATTGGCAGGTCAGATCAAAATTCGGGTATAACAGGAGACTTGCTAATCAGAACATGACCCGCCATCCATGAAGGGTCAACATGCCTAACTTGAACATGAAATTTTCAGGTTGTCGGGTCACTCAAATGACACGATATGACTCGAAATATAATTCTAATTTACTAATCTACCGCTATAATTTCTAACCGAATTAACTCCGCACAAGACTAATGACATAATCAAGTAATAAAAATCTCAATAAAATAATTCCAAATCAAATATGAAATAAATAAAACATTGTAAAAGTGTTTTATCCTAAATCAAATCTGAAATAAATTAAAAGTAGAAAATAATGTAATATATCATCTATTCAAACATAACAATTCCAACTTCACACAAGTTAAACAAATTCATTTAAAATTAAGTAGTTAATGCCTTTAGGGGGGAGGGGGGAAGAATAACTTAGTTTAGTTAAATAAAATATTTTTATATTTATTAAATTATTTTTAATTCATAAACATACTATCGGGTCAACCCGTGGGTGCCTAAATTTGACACATTTTCTTTTCAGGTTCATCGGGTTTGACCCGATTCTGACTCGAACCCACGAAATCTCAACCCCAACTCATTAATTTCGTGTTAGATTCGTGTCATATTTTTAGATCGTATTAGAAATTGTCACCTTAGAATTAAGGTTATGTTTCATAAAAGAAACTTTAGAATTTTCTTGTCCAACATAAAACATTATATTATTATTGACTAAATTTTGATTTTTTTTGGTGTGCACAAACTTATTTACCCTTACGCCTCACACATAGTTTAATATTTTTTATTTTCTAATTTTGAAATGAAAGAAGGGATTTTGCAATTCTTTTTCTTTATGCAAGTTATTTGAACTTTGATAATATGCAGTGATTACTAGAAGATATTTAATTAAGTTTGTCATCAAATAAAAATATCCTACAAGAACAAAGTTTTTTTTTAAAGGAGAAAAAACATGAGATGGCAAAGGAAACGCACCCAAAAAAAAAACTGAAGAATCATAAATAGGATGCAAGCTAGGATCCAAAAGGCATGACAATAGATTTGTCATTATGCTATCTCTATCTCTATTCTGTTTCGACTTTCGAGTTTATCTTCAATTCATGTATAGATCTTAGTTCTCTTTTATTAGGTGGAAAATCCCTCTCTGTGATTAAAGCAAATTATACGAATTTATATATGTGTATACTATATAGGTTGCATATATAATGTATTTTGTACTTGGACCTTTTTCTTTATTTTTATTTATCTTTTGAGATTTGCAATTGGACTTGTAAACAACTATATACAGTAAAATCTTTATAGATTAATAACTTTAATACCATACAAATTCTATTAATTTAAAGAGAATCAATAAATTAACAATTTACTGAGTTTACTTACAAATAAAAAAGCACACATTTAATTAACTAAAGTTTAATTTTATTTTTATAAAACTATGAATTATTCTATTAATAAAAAGAGGCTAAAAGTCTAAAATATATAAACCAATCCATATCAACTTGATTTGTAAGTATAATTTAATTCTATTAATATCTTCAATGTACCTACATCCAACTCTCCCATTTACACTAAAAAAAGATAACTTACTAATTATTCTCATTTGTTAAGTCCACCAGATAGCATCATTATCAAAGTGCAATTCTTTATGTGGATTTCTTGCAATACATAAAACTATGGATAAATGTGACCAACTAAGGACAAAAGGATTAAAAAAAAAAGTGAAAACAAAAAGATAAAAAGATAGAAGTTAGGGCTGGCATCATGACACCGAATCGAAGGGCAAATCGGTAAAGTGAGCATTCTGTATTGGGCTACTGACACAGTCATTGATTCACATATCATAATTGGCCAACGTACAGTATAGCTCAGTAAACTTATCAGTCACAGTGGGTTTCTGTAAAATCACAGGAATCCTTGAATCCAATCATATACTTATTAGAAACAGCTGAGAAAAAAAAAAGAAAAAGTAGGATAACCCACATATGGCAGGTTTTACTTACTGCAACTAATTAGGAGGATTAATATGGGATATACAACTAAGTGTATTTAATGTCTCTAAGACATTTTTTTAAAAAAACATTGTCTCTAAGTTCAGTTTTTAATAATTTAATAAAATAAAATTAAGTTCGAAAAGTGTCTATAAAAGAATGCAACATGAGTAAATTGTGTAATTTATATAAGAAATTGCGTATTCCAAATTGATTACCAAATAAACATTGGTTAAGAATATCACTGATGTTACCAAAATATCTCACATACACGTGTTTTTCCGTACATATATTACTATGTACATTTATTACTCTGTATTTGTACTTTGTAGAAATCTACCAAAAACTGCTGGTCTGCGACTCTTCACATCAATATCTTAAATTGAAAGTGATATAGATCGGAGATTATTTGAAATAATTATTATAATATTTTTTATGATGTGATGTATATAAAATAAAAAAATAAAAAAAATACGTTAAAAAGTATATTTATGATGTAAATAAATAATTTTATTTTACAAATAATTCCCATCCAAACACACCTATATCGAAATAGTGGTAGAACTATAGAATCCTTGTACGTTCCACGTCCAAAGGGCCAAAAAGGTTACTGCCTCTGAATGAGTGAAGAATATAGTAATGATTATTAAGAAAAATATATAGTTCACCAAAACTGGATCTGTAGTGGAACAAAGGAAAATTAAGGAATAAAATAATTAGCCGTCAAAAAATGACCCCTAGCACTAGGTGTTGTGTACGTGAAAAGGGTTCATGGAAAACGTAAAATGAAGGGTCACGCCGAATGAGAAACTTTCGTGGCATGCCCGCAAAACAACAATAGTCATTGGGGGAGTACACATATTGGCTAAAATGGTACATTGAGTTTTGTGCTTGATGGATTTGAGGTCTCACCATTCGTGACCTCATATTATAAAAAGCCACCAAAATAAAGTTGTTCCAGATTTTTTTAGTAGATAGAATATTGTACCGGTAATCAAAACAATTGTGTTACGGATTAGACAAATTTTCACACACACACACACACATATATATATATATATATATAAAAGCAGAGTATTTTTTATTACAAATAAAGCAGAAAATGAATTATCAAAAAAGAATGAGTTATCTGACAAGTATTGTGCGTCAGAATAGGTGATTATTATTCAAAATAATTATCGTGATATTTTTTATAATGTAATGTATACGAGATAA